GAATAAAAATAAAAAGTATAAAAAAAAAAAAATTTAATGTAGTATGATATAAGATATAATAGTAATAAAATAAAAAAAAATAAATAAGATAATATAATAATAAAAAAAATATAGAAGATAATAATAAGACATAAGAAATAAAAAAAAAAAAACACATAAATGTAATATTATAATAAATATGTAATATAAAAAAATAAAAATAATATATAGAAATAGTAAAGAATAAATAAATAATAAAAAAAAGAAAATAACAAAATATACAAATATATACTATATATATATCACTATATATGAAATACTATAAATAAATATAAAGATATAAATAGAATAAAAATAAAAAGAACTAGATAATAGATAAATAAATAAAGTATATATAAATTAACATAAAAAATAACATAAAATATATAGAAATAGTATATAGTATAATATATATAATATAAAAATAATAAAAAAAAATAAATATAATATAATAACACATGAAATAATGTATAATAGGTAATATAATGATAATAAAAATAAACATAATACACAAATAACAAAAATAATATAATAAAATAATAAATAATAAAATAAAAAAGAATAAAAACCCATGAAAAAATATATATACACCACCAAACAACCAACAAAACAACACACAGAAAAGAAAAAAAACAAAAACAAAACCAAACACAAAACAAAAAAAAAAAAAAAAAAAAAACAAAACCCACACACAACAACCCCACACAACACAAAAACACCACAAGAACAAAAAAAAAAAATAATAATGCAGTAAAAGTAGAAAATAAAAAAAAAAATAAAAAAGAAATAAAATAAAATAATATAAATAAAAAAATAAAAATAAAAAGATAATATAAAAAAATAAATAAAAAAAAAAAAATAAAATAACCACATCAACACATAATACAATAATTATAAACAAGATAAAAAAATACAAAAAAATAAACAAAATATATAAAAAATAAAAACCACCTCACACACATCACCAAACTACCACATATATAATACACACAAAATAACACCACAAATAAAAAAATAAAGATAAATATAAAGGAGAGAGAAGAGAGGAGAGAAGAGAGAGAAATGCACTCACTCACCACTTCACTCACACACATGTATAATAAAGAAAATAAGAAGAGATCGCATACATATACTGTATATATAAATATATAATAATATATATTTACTACAACTATATAGATATATAAAATACATAATAATATATATAACAATAAGACATATATAATAAAATATAATACTACACACCACACTAAATAAACAAATCTATTATACTATACAATATTCAATCAAAGATACAATCAATCAAATCAAACATACAAATCAAAAACACACCTACACTCTAGTCTCTCTCTCATCATAATCATTCTCTCTCTCTCTATATAATAGTATACTAAAAACCAAGGATAGAGAAAAAGGTAACATATAATACAGACGTACAAACAAAAACAAATAATAAATAGTAAGATAACTGGGAGAGAAATATATACCTATATACAAATGTGAATATAATAAACACACTAAAAAAGATAGAATATATAATAAAAAATATATATATATATATATATATATAAAAAAACAAAACAAAAAACACCACTCACACACCATATAGTAATATTCATCGATGTATAAATCATAAAACTATAATGTGTATAAAATATATAAAGGATAAATAGAAACCCACACATACTCATAGAATAAAGAAATAAGACATATACTACACGCACACCACTCCACTAATATAAATAACACACAAAACACACCACTCATCTCACCACACACACCACCACATAAGACAAAAGATAATGATGAGATAATATATATATATATAAAGATACAAAAATAAAAAAAAAAAATAAGATAAGAAAATAAAAAATAACCATAAAAATTAAAATACATATACATATAATAATAAAATAATATATAATAATAAGTAATAAATATAAATAAATAAAATAAAATACAACCATAAATAACACACTCACCTCACACAAGAAATGAAACTTAAATAATTATAAGTCCCACACAGAATAAATATAAAAACCACACAAAAAGAAAAAAAATTAAAAATATAATAAAAATAAAAAATTATAAAATAAATATAAAATGATAAAAAGAATAAAATAAAAAAAGATATAAAAAGAATATAATAATAAGAAGATAAGAATAATAAAAAACAAAATAATAATAATAAATATATAAACAAAAAAATCACCCACGACGCTCATCACACATATAAAAATAAAAAAACTACCACACAACACTACACACACACACACACTCCAAAAACAAATAAAAACAAAAATAAAAAAAATAAAGTAAAAATATACAAAAATAAAACACTATAAGAAATATATAATAAGAGAAAGTAAAACTATATAAAAATAATATAAAATAACAGGTAAAGTAGTACACATAAGATAACAAGATACATATATATAAATAATAATAAAAATCATATATAATATAATAATAGAAATAAAAAAAAAAAATAAGAATAAAAAGAATAAACAAAAAAAAATAAAGAACAATAGATAATAGTAACTAAATATATAAATATATTTACATAGACTATGATAGTATAATATGTATATAATATTGTAAATAAAGTGTATAGTAATAAATTATAAATGAAATTATGTGTATAAATATATATATATATAAATATATATAAATATATATAATAAAATAATTATAGAGATAAGATAGAGAATATATAAATATATATATATATATATAACATATCATATAAATACTTAAAATAATAAATTAAATACATACATAGCACAGCAACAGAGAGTATATAACAAACGATAGTCCATAGAATTTATTTTGTAAAGATCGTTTTAAATTTCATGTTACCAAATATTCCTAATGGTACTGAAATAGAGAACAGAAAAAGATAGAAAGATTAAGGGTTCCTCAATAGTTGAAAAATTGAGTCACCTGTAGAATGAATGGCTAGTAAAAGGGAACTCAAAGGAACCACTACCGCAACTGACGACAGTCTATCATTGTAAAGCGAGAGGATCCCATATCGAGAGGACCGGGGGCGGCGGGGGTTTTATTTTAAAACCCTAAAAGAAGATACCCAAAAAACCAAATAAAGTTTGGAATATAAACAGTTCTAAACAAAGTAAAAGTAAATACTTACGCACAATGGAGAAAAGCAGAAAGATGTTAGAGAGTGTTTTTACGTAATCATGCATTAAAATAAAGGTCTAGGAATAGTAGAGTACCCTACTATCCATAGTCATGTTATATAAAAAAAAGAAAAAGAAAAAATGATGAAATTTATGAAAATAAAAAAAAAAAAAAAAAAAAAGAAACACAAATATATAAAAAAAAAAAGAAAAGAAGAAAAGGAAGAGGAGTCACAAAATACAAGTCTTACATAAGGTACCATTTTTTTTTCACAATAGAGTTATTAGGAAGAGATAGAGGAGAGGATAGAATGAAAATTACATTAAAAAAAATAGATAAACAAAGGAATACCAAGGATAATCAGCATTTTTTTCTTTGTATGAAAAATTACTTAGATTACTGTGCCATTTCATTGGACCTAGGCACCACCCAAACGAGAACGAGAGGCAGAGCAATGGCTATAACACAACGACCGAGCGCAGCTCGAAAAAGAGAGATACAAAGGAGAGAGAGAAGACAGCAATGAGATTCCAATATTAGGAGAGAGGTAGAAGCATGGCCATATGAGCAGAGAGTCCAAAGAAAAAACCACGAACTAGATGAGGATGCCAAAAAAACCCAACTTTAGGCCTAAATCAGCCAGGAATGTCTCTTTTCCTTTTCCTTTGACTGCCACATGATTCTTTATCTTGTCTACAAATTGTCACGTATAACTCCAAACCGCTAGATTATGCCCTCTTGCAGATGGGGCCTCATATAAGCCATGGGAGCCTAACTATATGTTCAATGAATGTGTACACATGACCTTACACATAAAAAACATGCATCCAGTTATGCACCCTTAATACCACACATTCTCACACTTACACACACACTCACACACTAACATGTATATTAACACACTCACATATGGCCATGAATACATACAGACACTGACATACAAAACACAGAAACAGATATACTCAAACAATCAATGCATGCATTTATCCATGTCTTTATCACTTAACTTACTCTAATGAGTATATCATCAATAATTACTTAATGCAGTTCTTACTAGTAGGAAAACTATAGCTTTCCTACTCTAACACTGAGTACTAAAATTCTTTTCATGCAACACCAATCACTTTCTTGTAAATTGGAACTGTTATTCTAAGCAATCATTTTCTTCTTTCTCTTTACTCTCTAGGTCAGTGGTTCTTAACCTTTTTAGAGTCAAAGACTCCTAAAAGAATCTGACGAAAACTATGGTCCCCCATCCCCTGAAATATTAACATAAATACAAATTTACTTGCAATGTGTATGATTCACTTTATCTATTGAGCTTTGATTGTCTCATACATCTGTGAGATAAATGCAGTATCATGAAACTTTCAAGGAAGCAAACTAGAAAAAAAAAAAACATACTCCTTAAGGCAAAAAGTAATATTAATTTCCATCTGATCCTGATAGCCCCTTTGAAACCCGTCCATGGGCCCCAGGTTAAGAACCCCTGCACTAAATAATGAAATAGGCCTGTAATAGGAATCACACAATTTTCATCTTTAAAACATATCAATCTATACCCACTAGTAGTAGCATATGCAGATATGACACATTATTTATACACAGTCACTATATATTGTGTTCTTATGGCTTTTTTAAGGTAATATCTCACCACCTTTTATATTATTCGTCTAGAACTTTCATGGTGACTTTAACATTTGTACTTCCAATAAATACATTACCCCATAAAAACATAATCCATGTATGTGCTGTCTTTAAATACATAGGAAGTAAATGTGGGTTTCATAATCCTGTATCTAACAAATATTAAGAGAACCATATTGTAAAAAAAAGGACCATTAACTGTATTTTTCTTTTTTTTTGCTACATAATTATACAATAAGTTTCACATATTCTCTCACTTTTTACTGTTACATACACAATTTATGACAACTGAACAAAAATTGGACAGAGACAACAAATACTTTTCAATTCAAATACTTACTAAATGTCAGAATATGCTAAAACCTATCAAGAATCTTCCTTCTGATGTAACAAAAACTTTGAATTGGGTGGGCAAAATATGCCAAAATAAATGTCTCAACTTTTCCTGCATCATTCAAACATACTCTTAAACTTTTACAATGGAAACAAACAATTCATGCAAAACTTCACATACTACAAGGATATTTACAACCAAATATAACAATACTTTTACCTATGTTCTCATAACCCAATGACGATGGGTAAATTTTAAGTAATGTCTGGCAAGGACATATGCACGTTAGTGTAAGTCACTCTGTGCTTAAGTGATTGTCAGGCTTACATTCAGGTGTGTGAAACCTTATTCTGGCTATCAGAACATAGGTTCATGATATGATAAGGTGTTACTTGGTGTCTGGACATCACCTTTCGCCAATGGGTTGATTAAGGAACAGACTCATTATAACACAGGAATCTATTTTCCAATGTAATGTACTTTAGATTTGAGTTCAATCAGAGAAACTTGGATTCTTATTCTAAACTGCACCCATTTGTAGCCACCATTCTCCATTGTTACATCAAACCCATCTTCACATTCATTGGGTCTTCAAACCCTTTTCAACTATTTACAACTGTCATAAATTGTCAAAGACATTTGTTCTTTGAGAAAGCAAGAGAGCTTTACTTAAAGCATTAAAATATTTCACATCTTCAGAAATTTAGTGTTTACAGAACTACTTTCTTACTCAGTAAGAATTTCATGGCTACTGGAGCAGCTTTTACATACTATTCACTTCTTTGCAATTCCACATGTATAAACTCCCTTTCAGCTGCCTCCTGTAGTTTTCTTTTAAATGCTTTACCTTAAGAATACATTATTTTCTAGTATTAAGATCAATAATGTACAATTTATCCTTAATATTTTTTTCCTCTACAAAGAAACAAGTCTGTGATGCCTCTTGGCAAATACCTGTATAGCATATATACTGTTGAAGTGTTAGTGCTTTTGTGCTTATGCAAGGCATACTTGGTGGGTACAGAGAAATATATTTCTGTCTGGCAAATATATACATTATGTATCATAATGTATATATATAACCCACACCTGTCTAATGTCTGATTATATGACTTTATAATGAACCTGTACATTTTTGTGTGAATATTAAAATGGTGCTGCTTTCAAGTGGTTGTTAACCCATTTCTTTTTTCTTACTAATACTTTATGTCACTTCATTCATCTTTCAATTGCATAAGGTTTCGTGTGATAAAGTCTGACCTGATTAATTTCGGAAGCCAAAAAGACCTGGAATGCTAGCACATTCCACCTAAGGCTATCTAGATGAATATAGGAAGACTGCAATCTTATCTCTCCAACACTAAGGCAACACAAATCTCATGTGAACACAGGAACACAAATGACAAAGTATTAATGCTCCTGTATCACTATCCACTCTATTCCAAAAGACACAACACTACTATCCTTATCATATTATCATTATTTTAGACCTGCATGTACCAACAAAATGTTTTTATGAGTTTCTACACTGTTAATTATTAAAAAAATATAAAGTATATATAAAGGCAGGTTCAACAAAAAAAGAAGCTAAATAATATTTAATTTTCATGTTTTTTTCTTAAACATAAAAGGCAAATAGAAAAAGGAAAATGAAATAGAAAATTTACCAAGGGACAAGGGCATTTTCTTGCTATGTAAACTCTCATTCACCTACTACTCATACACATTTTCTTAATTCAGCTTGTAAAAATATCTTCTCTAATAAATATTTACACAGACAAAAGAAAAAACAAAGAAAAAGGGAAATTACATAAAAAAGAAAAGGAGAAAGTAAGAACTACTTGTGGCTTGTAACGTTTCACTTTTTGTAGCCCAGGATGGCTTCTCCAACTCCAAAGTAATACACCATTTGAGCAATACCAAAGAGTGGTGCAATAACAATCATCCTGCAAGCTCCCCCTTTGAAGAAAGCTTTTGGCCCTTCATTCTTCACAATCTTTCTGTTGGGTTGGAGAAAATGTACAAATGTGGTGAGAGAACAAAATTAAATCACATGCAAATATAGACTATATACTGGATATGTATCTCTTTACAACACATATAAATGCATTCCTGCCTGTATATGTAACACATCTGTTAACATGTACATAAAATGTATCATACTATCACTTACTCTACATATAAGCACATACTTACATAATCGCATCTGCTATTCCTCGATACTGGGTCTCACCAGCACCCTTGGACAACAACTGCAATCTGGTTTTCACTACATCAAAGGGATTTACAGCCAAAGCTGCAAGAGAACCTGATGCACAACCAGATAAGAAGGAGCACCAGAAGACAGCTTCACCTGGTTAAGGAAAGAATTTTAGTAAATAACAGTCCAAAATGGAACAAATATACTATTTTCCATAAAATTCAGTCTTTTGTACTTGAAATATCTAAGATCTTAAAAAAAAAAAAAAAAAAAAAAAAAAAAAATACTGAATAAACATAATAATCGCACCAGAGCCATCAGCCTTTCGAGGTCCAAGAGAATTCAGGTGAGCAAAGAGTGGGAAGTAAACAACGGAGAAGGACACATCTCGTAACATTGTAGCTGCTGTTCCTTTATATAGGCCAACAATGCCTTTTTCGCGTAATAATTTAAGTGTGATGGAGGTTGCAGAAATCTTGGGGATGTCTGCAGTTTTTCCACCTGCAAATGAATTTTAAAAATTATGTTCCTGGAAATAAGGCCTTAAATACGAGAGAGAGATAGAGTAATGGAGTCCCTAAAGTTTCTTATGTAGCTATGAGCTAAGTAAGAACTTGTCTGTCATTATATTTTGTTCTGGCTAAGTAATGTCTTTGTTTATTTCTATATAAAGCATATTAAATATTGCAGTGTATAAGTAAATGTATTTAGATATAATCATATGTATGAAAAAAATATATCTATATATCTTGATCTATCTACCTATCTATATATACATTACATACCAGGAGAGAACTCAGAAAGGGAGTTTGGAAGGGGAATGAGTGGAAAGAATAAGATAGGGACTGACTATGAAATATTTAGATATAATCATATGTATGAAAAAAATATATCTATATATCTTGATCTATCTACCTATCTATATATACATTACATACCAGGAGAGAACTCAGAAAGGGAGTTTGGAAGGGGAATGAGTGGAAAGAATAAGATAGGGACTGACTATGAAATACATCAAGCAGGCATACCAGAAATTCTATTTCACACTCACTACATTCTAGTCATAGGATGGGATGATACAATGGATGTCACTGGAGGAGAGCTGACGAACAATACCAGATGTATTAATGGCGAAAAAATAAATAGGACTGACCAAAGAAAATGCAGCCAGCCATGATCATGGCAAATAGGAATTTTGGGTGTTAGTAATTTATCAGTATACATTTTTCTTTACTTCTAACACCTGCATACTCACTTGCTTTAGCTTGAGCAGCAACTCTTCCTGCATCCTGAAGCTGAATCTTTAAGAGTTCCATAGGTGTTGTTACAACAATTTGACAAAGGCCAGCTAAACCACCTGCCATCATCTCACGCTGGACTGGGAGTTTTCTGTGCAAAATGAAGAATATTTTGGGGCATTACATAATGTGTGTGAAATTCTTTTACTAACATTAACTCAGAATGCACATGAAGATATACATCTGACTACTTCATATCTGTTGTCAGCTAAAAATAATGCCTTACAACTTTCCTTCCCTTTCTTCAAACATTGTCAAAAGCTAAAAGTTTCCTTTTCACAGTCTGTGTTCCTCCTTATTCATCAAACTAAATCTGATAACAATAAAGTCAATTTTTTTTTGAAACTTCAAAAATACATTCCCAGTGAAAAGGAATTATACTTTGGTAACTAACAGACAAGAAAACTCACTACCAGGTAGCACTTTTAAGGATAGGTTACCTGTGAAATAAAAGAAGGAGAGACAAGATTTATTGTAAACATGATGATGTGCTAATAAGTATCATCTGCTAAACCACATGGAACTCCATGATTAACCCTTTGGATCCGGATGACATTGCGATCATGTCAACGAAAAACTTGGGCAGCTACACGGGTAACGTGAACAAAGCATCAAGAGCGAAGGCCAGGGTGACAGAAAAGACTCGTCATGAGTGCATAAACCTCTTGGAGTGTGATTTAACTCATTTGGCGCTTAGAAGGGTGCTTTAGCATTATTCCTATCGATAAATGAATGTGGAATGGAACGTGCGTAAGCAGTGACTCGGAGAGCGCCAGCTCCGGGGAGGATGCCATTTCCATGCTGCGCACTGTATTCCTGCCTGCTGGGACTGGCAGCACAGGCTGC